AGCTTGGCTGCGTCTTTAATTACAACTTTTGGATCTGTACGATCACTTTTGTGACATTCCAATGGAAGAATTTTGAAGAACTGTTAAGTTATTTTGTTAAATTGCAGTGTTTTCTGTTTATAAATCTGTTAAAAATAAATAATTATGTGTATGGTAATAAAAAAATACTTTTTTTACGACCTCATGTTGGATATTATGCAAAAACCGTTGGTGTACGATGACTTTTGGGACTGACTGTAAATTTTATTATAAATTAATATTAACGATTTTTCGCTGCTTAACCTCTCCTAATTTGACAATGTTTGACATATAACCATAATATAAACATATAAACATATAACATGTATGTGGTGAAATAATCTAAGTCGTACGTCGATATCATTTTTAAACGTCAAGTCACTGCCAGCTCTCGTGGTTTCTACTATATAATAAAATTGTAATTCTTTTATATTAATTAATTTTACTTACCCAGGTTTATGGAGATATTGGCTCGTACAAAACTAAGTAATTTTTCTTTAACATTTATTTTTTAATAATTACAAAATACATTAAAATGGCAGTGCTTAACAACAATTAATTAATAATTAAAGTGTATCACGAGAAAATAACTATAAATCGTTTAAGCCAAGCTTTAATAAACATAATTTTATTGTCAACTCTTCATCCTCCTCAAAACCGCTTCAATATCGATGCAATCTAAAATCGCAGCCCCGATAGAACTCCTCCTCGTATTCATAGATGTCACTAAAACCCACTTATTCGTTTTTGGGTCGTATTTTTCCACCGAATTCAACGAGCACGACCCATCGTTTCCGCCCAAAGCGTAAATAAACCCATCGATTGCGACAACTTCATGCGTCGATCTCCGATTATTCATCGATGGGATCGGTTCCCAAGCGTTTCGTCTTACGTTGAATCTTTCTCCACTCGACATACACATTGTCCCATCGTTTCCGCCGATACAATACAAGTTTCCGTTTAAAGAAGCGACCCCGCAACTACTTCTCCGCGAAGACATCGAAGGTACAGGAAACCAAGTCCCCATTCTTGGATCGAAACGCTCCACGGAAGCTTGGTAATTCGTTGAATCAAACCCACCGAGGGCGTAAATACAATTTTCTACAACCGAAATTCGGCAATATCTTCGCCGGGTGGACATCGCGGGGCAACTACACCAAATCCCGGTTAATGGGTCGAAACGTTCCATGCTTGATAAGCAAGAAGCGCCGTCGTAGCCACCGCAAACATAAATTAACCCGTCGAAAGAGCAAATTCCTAAACAAGATCTTTTTGTTCCCATTGGAGTTATTGATCCCCAAGTGTTTGTTAGCGGGTTATAAGACTCCGCAGTTGCTAAATCGGACGCCCCATCATATCCTCCGACCACATAAAGAAGTCTGCTTAATCCTGTGACCCCCGAACGTGATCTACGCCATTGCATCGAAGCGATTTGAGCCCAAGAATCTTTTTTTGGGTTGTAGACTTCGCATTCGGAATGAATTGCAAATAGAGAACCCCCACCTATAAAAGAAATTTAAAGATAAGGATTAAGACAAGTTTATCTAAATGTTTATAGTTCTAGGTTTTATTGAAAATATACTTTTATTGAGATCTATCAAGAATATTTTAACATTGCCCTCGAAAACTGTGTACGAGATGCGGAACTCTGAACAATCTTCAACAAATCAACGCAGATCTTAGAATTCGATGATATTATAGGAAGAACAAAAACCGAGGTGAAGAAGAGAGGGGTTTAAAGATATCGAGACAAGATTTTGATCTTATTTGCTTAACCGAGACCTGGTTGCATCCTGGCATACACTCGGCAGAATTGTTTCCGGATCGCTTTAACGTATTCAGGTGCGATCGAGCATACGGCAACGATGGGGATGGTTCGATGGGTGGGGGAGTTTTAATTGGTGTGTCTACTGCTATATCTACTGCTATGTTTGTGAATCTGGAGGTAGTGAGTGTAACGCTTAGAGCCAGGGGTTCTTCGTTACATGTTTGTTGTGTTTATATCCGTCCAAATGATAATTGAGCATTATATTCATTCATGGATCAGCTTACTGTACTCACACGGCGGTATTCTGGCGACGAATTTCAATTTTCAATTTTCAATTTAATCACCACCTTAATGCCTTCAACCATACTTTGGATCTCGTTATTACTAATTTTTATTCAATATCTGACATAGCACTGACGGATACACCTTTAATTCGTGAGGACATATCTCACACTACTTTAGAGTTTTCCTGCACAGTAATCGCACCTCCAAATCTTAAAGATAACTTACCCCTCTTGTTATAACTACAGAAAAGCAAAATTTGACTTACTCAATTCACATTTTAACGGGATTAACTGGGAAAGAGAGTTGGAGGGCGATGATGTTGATAGTTCTGTAGAAACATTTTACGCTCACTTGCGTCAAGGCATTGACAACCATGTTCCCAAAATGCAAAAGCGAGTAAGTGGTTTCCCTGTGTGGTTTACGTTCAGTGCTGTGCGGGTGATTAATGAAAAGAGGAAGGCGCACAGAAAATGGAAGCGCTATGGAAATCATGTTGATTATCTTACCTTTTCTCTGTTGAGAGGGCGAGCAAAATTCCTTATTAACCGTGATTATAAAAATTATATTAGCTGCGCAGAAACAAATATAACGCTCAATCCCAAGCATTTTTGGTCATTTATAAAACGAAGAAAGGGCAATAATAATATACCGTCTGTGGTTTATTTAGACAACAGCACCGCTTCCGATCCTCGATCTATCTGTTCATTGTTTGCTGACTTTTTTCACTCTGTGTACTCAGTCCCCCGGGCTGGTGTGGTATCTGGTGTCACGACCGGCTTCAATAGTGCAGATCCGGTTGCTTTGATCAGATGGAGGTTGAGGAGGCACTGGGAGGAATTGATGCTTCAAAAGGTCAGGGTCCTGATGGTATTCCTGCCATTATAATTAAAGAATGTTACGCATCTTTGTCACTTCCTGTAACCATTATTCTGAACAAATCGATTCAATCTGGAGTTTTTCCATGTCTTTGGAAGCAGGCACATATAGTTTCTATCTTTAAATCTGGCAACAAAAGTGATGTATCCAACTACAGGTCAATATCTTTATTATCAATTTTGAGTAAAATTTTTGAAAAGCTAATTGATAAACGACTATTTTTTCTTACTAAAAATAAAATTGATACTAGACAACACGGCTTTTTTGCGGGTCGCTCGGTCGAGAGTAACTTAAGCAAGTACAGTACTCAATTAGTACTGTACTCAAGCAGTACAGTGATTATATTTTTTCTTCTCTTGATCAAGCAATTCAAGTGGATGCCATATACCATATACACTGACTTCAGTAAGGCTTTCGATCGCGTAGATCACAATCTCCTGTTGTCAAAGCTTCAAATAATGGAAATTGATAACTATTTGTTGCTATTGATTGCTTCTTATATGCGTGATAGAACTCAGGTGGTATCTATTAATGGATATTATTCTGATATAATGTCCGTTCCTTCAGGCGTACCTCAAGGGAGCCATCTTGGCCCCCTTCTTTTTAATATTTACATCAATGACATTTTCACAATAATAAAACACTCCCAGTGCTTAATGTATGCAGATGATATGAAATTGTTTGCACGAATTTCCTCGCCACTCGACTGCTCAAGAATGCAGCGTGACATTAATGCACTACAACGCTATGAAAATTTTATGACACTTAATCCTATCAAATGTACGTTATTTCTTTTTCAAGAAGTTCGAATGTCATCAGATACGGTTACAGCTTGGGTGACTATGTTTTACCCAGAGTACCTCAAATTAAAGACCTTGGGGTCACTTTTGACAATAAACTAACATTTAGTGGTCACGTTGATGGAGTAGTTGGAAGGGCGCTGCGAATGTTGGGCTTTGTCATAAGGTCCACAGACTCTTTCAAAAGCGTTAAAGCGGTGAAAGTTTTATATTTTGCTTACGTATTTAGTATACTTAACTTTTGCACTACCATTTGGAACCCGCAATATCACACTTATATAAACAGAATCGAAAGAATTGAGAAGAAATTTCTAAAGCACTTAACCTATAAATTTAATTTAAACTATAATGATTACGATTCTGCGTGCAGCTCTTTCCAACTTCTTCCACTCCATCAGCGCCGCTTATGTAACGATACTCTGCCATTTTACAAGATTGTCAATAATCGATGTACCGCCTCGGTCTTGTTGGGTTGTGTAAATATACGTATACCACCTCGATCTTTAAGACATGAAACTATTTTTTATACTCCCATTCCGAGAACAAATTTATTTCAAAATTCACTTATGATTCGGAGCAAGAATTCACAAGATTCTCGCTACAGATCCGGCACTACCCCTGGGCTCACTTAGGCGGCCTGACGGTAGTTTTACGGACTCTAGCAGAGCCTCGTTGGAGCTTCTCATGCAGACTCACATCCCAGGAAGCCTGATGATGAGGGTCGATAATACCATAGCGGGCTATTCCTGCAAGGCAAAGCGTCCCTCAAATACGGATTGGAGTGTGGCTAGAAAAGTCGTCACTTACACATCCGTGGACCAGGCAATTCAAACGTTTAAGCCGTTCAAATCGCCTGGAGAAGACAATATCTTTCCTGCTTTGTTACAGCAGGGGAGGTCTTTGTTGTTGCCAATTTTGGTAAAAATTTTCAGAGCGAGTGTCGCCTGGAAATATGTGCCGGCAGAATGGACTAAGGTACGGGTATCTTACATACCCAAAGCGGGCCGTTCGGTCCCTACTTCTAATGCCTTTCGACCCATCAGCCTAACGTCATTTCTGCTGAAAACCCTTGAAAAAGTTCTGGAACGGTATATCCGTACGGTGCCATTGGTATCTGGTCCACTGAGTCGCCACCAGTATGCTTATCAAGCGGGAAAATCAGCAGAATTGGCTCTACACAACTTAGTTGGTAGAGTATCCAGGACGCTGCAGGATAAAGAAATCTTGGTTTGTGCGTTTCTGGATATAGAGGGAGCGTTCAACAACGCAATACCACAATCTCTTGAAAGAGCTGCTCTTGACAGGGGAGTGGAAGCAACTATAGCGGGTTGGATCCGCAATATGCTAGATAGTAGAATAGTTTCTACTTCACTCCACGGTGATACGATACGCTTCAGGCCGGGAGGTGGCTGCCCGCAGGGAGGGGTGTTATCTCCCCTGCTTTGGTCCCTCCTAGTTGACGATCTGATTGCGATAGTCGAAGCCGTTGGTGTGGAAATACAAGCTTATGCTGATGACATTGTCGTTATGGTCAAAGGAACCTGTTTGCCGAGGATATCTAAAGTCCTCCAGGTGACCCTAGATACCATTTGCGCTTGGTGTAAGGGAGAGAACCTCTCAATAAACCCGCAAAAGACAATTGTTGTGCCCTTCACCAGGAAGCGAAAGTTGGATGGACTAATCCGCCCAACTATCCAAGGTGAAGAAATTCCTTTCTCAAAGGAAGTCAAATATCTAGGAGTAATCCTAGACAAAACCCTGTCATGGAATGGACATTTGCAGGGAGTTTTGCACAAAGCTAGACTATCCTTGTGGACTTGTCGCAGTCTTTGTGGAAAAAATTGGGGTCTTACCCCTGAAAGACTGTACTGGCTCTATGTGACTGTGGTTAGACCTATGATCACATACGGAGCAGCAGCCTGGTATAGGAAAGTCCGACAGACTTCAGTTATCAGTAAACTTTCACGAATTCAACGAGTAGCTGGATTGGCAATCTCTGGTGCGATAGGCACAACGCCAACTCTAGCAATGGAGGTTCTGCTTGGCCTATCTCCTCTGCATTTGCATATAGAGAAAGTGGCTAGAACAACCATTTACAGATTTAAGCAATATGCTCAAAACTGTTCCGACATGTCCTACCAATGGGCTGCGGAAGACATTATAAGCACTGATACTGTGCTATCAATGCCGTCAGATTTGGCGGTATCACTATCAGTGATTAATGCTCGATACCAGATTGTACTGCCTGAGCGGCAGTCCTGGATCGAAAATGAAAATTCTCTGGTTCGGGCAGACATTTGCTTGTACACAGATGGATCAAAAACGCCTGAAGGGGTAGGAGCAGGAGTATACTGCCAGACACCTCGAATTAAGCAAGCCTACAGCCTGGGTACGTACTGTACTGTATTCCAGGCGGAAGTATTTGCTATTGACATGGGTGCTAAAATCCTTCTTGAAAGAGGGGTGAAGAACATGACAGTACGAATTTTCTCAGACAGTCAAGCCGCTCTCCAGGCGCTGCAAGCCGTGAAAACGGTGTCGGCTCTGGTTAATGATTGTAAGAGAACATTTAACACACTGAGTTGTGATAACAGTCTCTCTGATCTGGGTCCCGGGTCACTCTGGGGTTGCTAGCAATGAAGCGGCAGATAAGCTAGCACGAGATGGCAGCGCTGAAGCGTTTGTGGGGCCGGAACCAGCAGTTGGTGTATCATTTGCGATGGCTAAACATAGGATTGGACTGTGGGCTGAAGAGAGACTTCGCCTACTGTGGACCAGTTCTCCTGGAATGAGACATGCTAAGGTGTTTATTAACATCGCCACTGTCAAACCCGGGAATATTTTAGGACTTGCCCGTAGTAGCATAAAAGTTCTAATGGGTGTTTTTACTGGGCACTGCCGATTAAAAGCACACCTCAACTTGTTGGGTTTAGCCGACGATGTTGAATGCCGACTATGTGCGGAGGAAGCAGAGACGGTTGAGCATGTTTTATGCCACTGCCCTGCCGTTAACCGTATCAGATTCTCGATTTTTGGGTCGCAGTTTATCTCCTCAAAGGATCTGAATGACCTTTCGCCGAGCAAGGTATTAATGTTCGTTAAGAGCATTGGACTGCACGTTGAAATTTGATAACGATATCCATCGGGGTACAATAGATCCTTAGGGTCGCGGTGCAAGGTTGGTTGGTCCGCCTACCCGATATGTAGTTAATGCAATGTAATGTAATGTAATGTAAGCCTGTCTATCAGGCTAGTTTTGGGAATCTGAAAATTTCGAGAAGCTTCTCTTATTTCCATACCATTATGAATTGCATCTGTTAAAGATGTTTCTGAATATCACTCTTGGGAACACTCTATTTTTGGTTTTGACTACTTTGAATTGACTAGATTTGACTAGAGAGAACTATCTTCTTAGAGCTGTTATGTCATTTTGAACAGTTCTTTTTTAAGCAATTTTTACGTATTTTAAGAAGCGGTCGACGACGGGAAAATGTTTCGTACACTAACACTCCAGTAGTCGTCCACTGTGGTCGACTAATGAAAGATTATATTAATTGTAAAGCCTATGTTCGACCACCCGAAAATAAAAACATGTACTATGTTTTGAACAACTTTATTTAGAGAAATAGTAAAACTGTTCTATTTAAAATTGGGTCTATGTCCAGATTCTAATAAAACACGATTACAATACTTTTCTAAATTCGAAAACGAAAAACACTAGGTACCAATAACTCTTATCAAAGTTAACCTATTTTTTTACGTACAATTAACTGGTTTGATAAAAACTATAGCATTCCATTTAAAATAACGAAGTTATGGTCTACTTCCGGTAGACCGGAAGTGGCAGCCATCTTGAAAATAGTTTAGATTGAAAGTTCCGCATGAACAACCCATGCTACCAAAATTTCAAAATTGTACGAATAGTGGAAC